CAGTAACACCGGCAGAAGCAAGATCCACAGCTTTACGGCAGAATCGACGGATCTAGAGACGATGACGGAAGCTTCTGATTCCCGGCCTCGTTACTTTTCCGATGACCCACCATACCCGCCACAAATCTCCCGGTAAGGTCAACTCTTCGACAACCCGACCCGCCGTTGACAGCTCCCCTACCTAGCAAGCCTACAAGCATTTATTAATTAATTATATCAAAGACTCTCCCAATATTCATTAATACGTTGTTTTAACTAAAAAATACAGAGATTATTTTTTTTTAACATTAAAACATCAGTTAATACTTAACTAAATATATTTAAGCTCATAATAAAAAAAAATTAAAAATATGAATGATCACGAGACATCAAATATAGTTTAATTTTCGCATAAAAATTTGAAAATAAATAAATTCAAGTGAAACAATGGAAACTCTCGATAAATTTTGAAGAAGTTTGAATTATAGCTTTTTTTTTAGTATACCACTATTATTATAGACCTGACTAGTTTAATGCAGTGAGTATGGTTGCGGATGCGAAACTTTGTAGAAGTGGACAGTTATAGTTTCAACGCTTTAACGACTATTTTAGCGGCTAAAAAAGAATATTGGGAGATTAGGGTTAAAGAATTATTAATGTTTGAAAATTAACGTGAATATATAATAGCTTGATGAAAAAAAAATTATTTGTTATTTATATAATTTTTTTTACCCACTATTATTATAGACCTGACTGGTTTAAATGCAGTGAGTGTGGTTGCGGATGCGAAACTTTGTAGAAGTGGATAGTTGTAGTTTCAAAAGCTTTGAACGACTATTTTAGCTGCTAAAACGGATATTGGGAGATTAGGGTTAGAAAATGAGTAATGTTTGAGAATTAATGTGAATATATAATATATTGATGAAATGAAAAAAAAATTATTTGCTATTTATGTGATTTTTTTGAGTCACACGCAACCATAAACGCTTGCACAAAATAAATTTTATTTTTTTTAACAATTCCAAACAGCTCAAAATAGTAGAAAACAATTTATATGACTAGTATTAAACTCTAACAACCGCAAACATAGTGTTTTCAAGTAGTTGCAGACAGTGTTCTAAAATACGGTATGTACGGCCGTATATACCGCATATATACGTTGTACGGTGGAAAGCCGTATTGTATTATAGTTATACAGTTGTTTAATACGGTGAAAGCTATACGGTCCGCATATACGGCGTATATATGGTGAAATCCGCTTATACGGCGTTTTAAAAAAAAATACTCAAAACAAAAACTATGTCATTTTATTAATGTTTGGAAACATGATTTAACAAAATTATTAGTTTGGCTCTTAAAAATTAATCATAATAATTAACTATAAAATAACTTAATTATCATTCTTTTCCACTATTTTTATGCTTATTAGTTATTTAAAATTTTAAAAATATTTGTAAAGTTGAAAATTTGAATTTTTTTGTATTCATGTATAGTATCATCATATTACTATATTTATATTTTATTGTTATTATATATATTTATATTTATTTAATAAAAAATATCTACCGTATAGTCCCCGCATAAATGACCTTATAGCGTATAGCGTATTTTAGAACACTGGATGCAGAAGACCAATCAAGCCTTGTATTAATCTAATGTAAACTTTCAAATGATATTTTAAGGGGATCTTCTATGGTCCATGAAAGTTAAAAACTTTATTGAGAATTTGAGATATTATCATTGTCCAATTGATTTTAATACATTAATAAAATCTCAATCACCAAAACTTGTGGATCAAGTAGCATGATGATTCGCTTCTAGAAAATCCACGCGTTATGCTTCTTAAATCGTTGATGAGTCACATTAATAAGCTTTGCTACTTAATTACCAATATTGCCATTTCCATGTGCCCCAACCACTTCCTCCTATATATACGGCTATTTACACAACAAGACAAAAAACACTCCATTAAAGCACAACTCCAAAACCTCTCTCTCTCTTTCTCTCACGCTCTTTTCGTTCGTCAACTGTAAAAATCTGATCCAATGGAGAAAGACGATGAATCTAGTCCTTACACGGCGTCGTTTTCACCTAGCTTCAGTACTTATTCCGGTGATCGACTCGTAGAAATCGCCGAAAGAGTTTGTTACAAAGAGAAATCAGATGACGAATTCGAGTTTCCAATGACGACAGAGTCTTCTTCCGGCGACGATAGACTAGTTTTCCCTGTTTTTAACAAGAATCTAATCTCCGAAACTAAATCCTCCGCCGTGGAAGAGGCGGTTACAATTCCTTTGAAGGATCTATTCCTCCGTGAACGTAACGATCAACCACCGCAACAAACATATTCATCTTCTTCCGACGAAGACGAAGAAGACGACGAGTTTGATTCGATCCCAAGCGAGATCTATTGTCCATGGACACCAGCGAGATCTACGGCGGAGATGTCACCAAGTGGTGGTTGTAGAAAAAGTAAATCTACAGGATCATCTTCAACCTCATCATGGTCAACGAAACGATGGCGTTTGAGAGACTTTCTCAAGAGAAGTAAAAGTGATGGTAAACAATCACTTAAATTCTTGAATTCAAGAAACTCCATTAACAGAGATGATGAATCTTCTTCGAAGAAGAAGGAGAAAGTTTCAGTTTCTCCACATGAGAAGTTTTATTTGAGGAATAAAGCGATTAAAGAAGAAGACAAGAGAAAATCATATTTACCGTACAAGCAAGATCTTGTTGGACTTTTTTCCAATATTAATCGTTTTGGATCTATTCGGTGAAATTAGTGTTTTTTTTCTTCAAGAAATAATACGATTTTATATTCGTATTTAATAAATTATAAAAGATGTAGATGTGTATTTTTAATAATTACATCTTAAATTATGTTTTTAGTTTGTACACAATTTTGATCATTTTAATAATCATATATTGTTGTATATTTTTTTATAGTTGAAGATATTTTATTCAATTAAAAATTGACAAGTTGACTAGTTGAGTGTATTTTAGTGTGCATTTGATGTTTTTTCAGGGAGGTAATGGATATAGACATGTATGTAAATGAAGACAACAGGAAATTAAACTTTTATGGATGGACATCATTAATTTGTAAATTGACAAGTATACTTTATTTTGATTAGATTTTCTTTCGAATGGTCCATGTTTTCGTAAATGCGATCTCATCTACTTATAACTGTGAATGATAAATTCTTGGTTAAATAATTGTCTATTAGAGTAGGGTCATCTCTAGAGTATAGAGTAGACACTAGCTATCGAAGTACACATCCCTAACTGGGCTACACAGTTTTTATAGACGATTATTTTTTTTGTTATTTTTTTTTTTATTATTTTTTTTTTTTCATAAAGAAGAGAAGAGAAAAAAGAGATCAAAGGGAAAAAAATAAAATTAGAGGGGGCAAGAGAAAATACTTTAATATTTGTTAATATATATCTAAAGAGAAAAAGTTAAAAGTTTTTAACCCAATCGGAAAAATAAATAAATAAATAAATATATATATATATATATATATATAAGTGAAAATTATATTCAAATTTTTTTTATTATAATATCAAACTATTAGTCTAATTCTGTTGAAATAAATTTTATATATTTTCTAAAAAAGTAAAATTAAAGTTTCATATTCTGTCCAAAAGATAAAGGTTAATATATTCGGAATTTTTGAGAAATGCATTTTTTATAATATCTGTTTTCTAGCTGTCTAGTAAAGTATATAAGAAGAGATAGTACCGTTTTTGCATCTTCAAATCTTACAGCATATCCTACTGCAAGGCAGACTGGCCAAAACAAACTCACCTCTTAGAGATAGGCAGGGTGTGACAAGCTGCACACAAAACACAATTACACATTGCTGTATATAAGAAAATTGTTTAAAAGCTTTAAACAGAAATGTATGTGGATATACGTGGCTCCACTTAAGCCTTTGCTCCCGAGTTGCAACTGCATTTGGTTGCTTAGGAACATTTTTAAATGCAAAGATAAGTGACTAAATACTAACCATGTACTCCAATCTGGCAAGAGCAGTCGGCAAAGGTTACTAAGGATCACTTGTTAACTGAAAAAATGGTTGTAAAAATAGGAAATTATTCCAAAATCGAGAGAATATATACAAATGGAAGAAAACATTTAATAGGGCGTTAGCCTTCATAATAAACTGCTTAGTTATGATAATATATATTAGAAAGACTTATAAAATGTGTTAAAAATATCACTTAAGATGTGTTATCTATTTTCTTTGCCGTATATGATAATTGGTAGATAACTGAATTTCCAAACATGTATAAAATGGTGGAGTATGTATATGCTTCCTTATATATATATATATATATATATATTTTTTTTTTCATAATGAGTTTATTTAGCTTACTCGCTCTTATCATTTTGTGTCACGTAAACAAATAATAATTTTAAATAGAAAAAATCCCATAAAACCCTTTCAAGTTGATATATTTTCTCAGTTTTTTTCGTTCTCATATAAAATCTCCAAGTTTAAAGATTTCCCAACTAAAACCTTCAACTTTTTTTCTCCCATAGAAAATCTTTAACTAAATAACTTTGCCTAAAGATATCTTCATTTCATCAAATTTGAGCCCAGTAGTTGGCTAATGGTACTATTTCGTTCGGAACAGTAAACGATAATTTATGACACGTTTTTTCTATTTGCTAATTTTTATATTTCATACGTGTTAGATATGATTAAAAATTATAAAGAGTTCAACCATATATACACACACAACTTAGTTACAATGGGAAAGATAAAAATCTTAATCACAAACTCTATAGTACAATCTTTTCTAATTTCTAGGCGGAATTTTACCATTTATTAGTCAACTATTTCTCGGATTAAAATTTGATGACTTGAAGGTTAATAATTTAGGTGAAGTTAATTAGTTGGAGGTTTTATATGGAAACAAAAAGAAGTTAATTTAGGTGATTTTAATTGAACAATATTTCAACTTTGAGGTTTTATTTAGGTACAGAAAAAATTAGAGGTTTTAGGTGGGAAAATGTTGCAACTTGGAATTTTATACTAGGAAATTGTCTAAAAATGTATTTTACTTTTTAGCACTGGTTCAGAGAAATCAATCCAAATTTAAATAGACAAATCAAACTTGGGTAAAGATCTATATACAAACTCTTTTTTATTTCCTGGATACCACACAAAAAGAAAGAAAAAGAAAACTTAGATAATTCAAGTTTATCATACAATATAAAGCGATCACATACTTGTATATAGACTTGATAACAATTTTCATCTGGCAACTTGATTAACCGCAAAGGAACGCTCCTTTTGGATTTCGAAAGTGAGGCACATTATTTGATTCGAATCTTTAGAGTCGTCAAAAATGTCTATGCGAACCCTTATTTTCACCTGTAAAGATAGAAAACGAGAACAAAAAAAATCGTGAGAGCCAACCAAATGGTGTTAATAATGAATGAATAATTTTTACAATAAAAATGTCTAAATCTTTTTTCTTAGTTTGTTCTATTATGGTTCGATGGTCGAGCAACATGACTAATCTTAGGGTAGAACATGCTCTTTAATAGGAAGTTTCTCGCAAATTCACCATAATCATTAAACTACAAAATTGTGTAGTTCGAATGGATTATTTGCACCCAGATGGAATTCAAACCCCAATCTTGTAACATGCTTTCCAACTGCGCCGCCTCGGTCTAGGAACTCGCTCTTGAAAACTGTATTCAACTGAAGTGGAATAGAAAGCACAAGTGGTTGACCCCAAAACAAAAAGACACAAGTGATAGATACATTCGTCGATATTGTGTTTTTTCCTTGTCGAACACATCATTCCTAATTTTCTACTACGTTTTATTCATGACAGAGAGATCTCGAACCGAAACTCAAACTAATCTATAGACCCTGTGGAACATCGAATATTCTTGTCATTTTCTTTGGAAAGACTCAAACTCTAGTCCTCTCTAGCCTTATGATGAGTCTTTCAACCATTGGACCACCATGAAATAGTTTACAATCTTCTCTTTTTATTCATTATTAAAAAAATGTTCTCATCCTTTTATTTCCTTTGAAAATGATTTTGTCTGATGTATATTTATTATATATGCACAACCAAAATTTATGTATAGTACCTAATTTTTTATGGCGCAATTTTAAAAGTTAGGAGAAAGAAAAATGTAAGAAAACTTACCAGTGGATAAAAAGGAATGATATTGTCAAGGGGAAGCACGAAGGCACCAGGTGCAATAGGGCATGCCATATATGTACATAAGTCGTATTTATAATTAGACAAATGAGTCATGTCTATTATAACATCCACATAAAAAACTCCTCCAGTGATATTTTTACCTGGTCAGAAAAAAGATTTTAACCAAAAATAAGACCGGAAACTAAACTAAGATTGAAAATCTTGAAGAAAAATAAAGAAAATTAGCGAAGTATCTTAAGATTGAAGGGAGTCGATTTAGTACTTGTTGAACCGGATATCTTGAACAGGTGAACTTCGATCACCTAAACAAGCCGCAAAGTTTAAGGCCTTAAGACTTAAAAGTGAAAGAATACAAATTTCATTACAAGTAAACACACAACTAAAACCATTTTATATGATTATATAAAGGCAAAGATACATAAACATGAAAGATTGTGATAGCTCTAGAATTCAGTTTTTAGCTTTATTCCTAGAGTCAACCCTAGGGTAGCTAGGGATCGGTTCTAGAGTCTCTACACCGATCGAGATCACTTCAAGGGTTTACGCTTAAAATATTCCACCGCCATATTTGATCCCTAGAGGCCTAGCTAGGGATCGGTTCTAGAGAATCCAACTTACAATCCCAAAACCAACCAATTATTGTCCAACCCGATCCTAAAAATTTGATGCATCCACCGATGTTCTGTTTATATTGTTCCTAGTCCTCACTCACTAATTTACATAACCGATTTTTAACACTAGCAAAGTTACTATCCAAAAACCAAGTAAACAAAAAATGAGATTGTGGAAAAGTTGTATGAACCTTTCAACTCCTAATATTACTTTGATATCAAAAAGCGACTCAAGAACAAAGTAACAAGACGAAGAACAGAGTTAGTAGCAAACCGCAGTCAGAGTAATCGATGGCCCGCAAAGTAGGTAACAATAAGAGTGATAGGATGAGAAGAACAACAAGATGAACGTGAGAGATCGCCATGGATTAGTACTCAAAGATCTTCAAAATACGAATATATCTTATTGTTTGGTTTGAGAGACAAGTTCAAATCGTAGTTTTATCTTAAGGTTCTTAACTTGTCTGTCTCTTTCCCCAAATGTTTTGCATGATATTATAGAGTAATATAGTGGATTGTTTCAAACTACTGTCCTTATTTTTAATTCTTCCACGTTATTGTGAAAACTTTAAAATATGCCTAAATCTTAAAATATGCCTAAATTTTAAAATATCATCGACTAACGGACAAAATATGGAAATAATTTTTTATAAATTTGCCTCAAGTGTCTCTGGTTCATTGGCTAATCGAGAGAAGAGATTAATCTTTCCCAAAAAATGGATTTGACTTGTATATTATATAGTTATCACTCGTATCACATGTGCCAAAAAAAAAAAGATTAGAACTCTTGTATGAAATTTTGAAACTTATCTTTATTTGACTAGTAAAATAGATTAGTTTTAAATGAAATTAAATTACTTCTAAAACGTGATGATAATAATAAGCGTTTAAGTGTATATATAGATATACCATTTAAACCTAAAACACAATTAATATACTCAAAACTATTAATATAGATATATAGATGATACATTTATAAAATAGGTCGAAATATTATATTATACTCTCTATTAATAAACAAAACTAATTATATTTAGATTTTTTTAAAAAAAATTATAGCCCCGCGGTGTACCGCGGGTTCAAATTTAGTATATTATTAATGATGGATAAAAATTTTATTTAAATTATTTTTTACTAAAAGAAAAATGATTATTAAAGTTACATCAGTATTTATAAAGAAAAACAAATATTTCTGTTGACAGATTCAATTTATCCGTTAATTTTTGTGAGACCACAAATCCCCAAATACAAAGCCATTTTAAAAGTTAAAAGTAACAAAATTTTCACTTTAATGATGTTCCCTAATAAGTTTTATAGCTCTAAAGCCAAAAATTAGTGGAATCTTCTGTCTTTGTGTATTCCTTCACCTAATCTCTCTCATCCTTCTTTATCGGTCAACACTTTCTCAAACTCTCTAATCAGAAAAAATGGAAGCAGTAACGGCGATAAAGCCATTAATCAGAGTCGCTGCTCTCTCCGGTTCCCTCCGTAAAACCTCTTTCAACACTGGTCTCCTCCGTGCAGCGATTGATTTAACGAAAGAATCGGTTCCGGGAATTCAAATTGAGTATATTGATATATCTCCGTTACCGTTGATTAACGCGGATCTTGAAGTCAACGGTACTTATCCTCCGGTTGTTGAAGCTTTCCGGCAGAAGATTCTTGAAGCTGATAGTATCTTGTTTGCTTCTCCTGAGTACAATTTCTCTGTTTCAGGTAACTTCAATAAAGATTCTCTTTGAAGGTTTGGTCTTAGAGGTTTTCTTGATTTGTTTCAAGAAGATATGTTCTTTGTCTTGTTTGGTTTATTATTAATTGGATTTTATTAGATGTGTTACTGTAACTATGGTCCATCTTTGTCTTAGTCATATTCAAATTATCAAGAACCATTGATTTGGGTTATTAGTGTGACTCATGGGACCAACTTATGCTGAAGTTTGAAGATTATTGCTAGTTCTGTTTATGGGTTTTGTACTTTTTGACTGTTGTTGGCTTTTAAAGTTATGATTTTGTTGGGAAGTTGTGATCTTATGTTAAAAGTTTCAAAATTTTATCGATTTGATGTAAGCTTTGTTTTTGTGAACCTTATAGAGGAATGTGATACCACTCTTTGTTGGCTTGTGAAAATTTCGATTTTTTGGGAAGTTGTGACATTTCTTATGGTATAATTCCAAACTTGATGCAAGATCTGTTTCTGTGAACCTTGTCGACTTTGGCTTAGTGTTGTAAAACTAGTTCTTTGCTAATACCAATTTTCTACAATGAGAGTCAAACTCTTTCGATATGTTGACTCGATCGATTTCTGTTTTGTTTACCTTTCTTGTTACTGTACCAGCTCCACTTAAGAATGCTCTTGACTGGGCTTCAAGAGCACCTAATGTTTGGGCTGACAAACCCGCTGCTGTTATAAGCACCGGTGGAGGTTTTGGTGGAGGAAGATCACAATATCATCTTCGACAAATTGGAGTATTCCTTGATCTTCATTTCATCAACAAACCCGAGTTTACTCTCAATGCGTTTCAGCCGCCTCAGAAATTCGATGCAGAAGGAAACCTAGTCGATGAAGCAGCTAAGGAGAGGTTGAAACAAGTCCTTCTCTCGTTACAAGCATTTACCTTACGACTTCAAGGTAAGTAAGTTAAGTGGGTTAAATCTCTGAGCATTTGTGAGATCGGTCGTGTGATGAAAATAATGCCAATTGTTGTGATAATAAACAGTGTTTCTATTTCTCATTCATATTGTATACATGATACATGTATGTTTATTAATCGAGTGATGATATTTGTTTTGTCCAAGAAACGGTATTTTGAACCTAAAACTCATGGTGTTCGTTGAACCGTTAAACTACGGGAGTAGTCCATCCTGTAGCATTTCGATACGTTCCTACCGGGGCTGACCGGATCAGCCGATAGGATTTACAAAAAAAAAAAAAAAACTCGTAAATGTTTTACGAAAACTAAAAATGGTTTTAGATTTCTTATTTTAAAACTCAAGAAACAATTTGTCGTTTGCAATAATAGATAAAAAAATAATTTGTCATCGCAATAATAGATAATTGTTTGGTGAATTTTCCACATAATTTTTCAAGCAACAAAATGATCTTATTATATAAAGTATGGTTTTCAAAGTTAATAACTGATAAGATCTTGACACGTGGCAAATCTATTGATCTTAGATTTTGACACGTGTAAACAAAATTTTCCTTTTTAAAATATAAAAAAGATAATTGTAAGTAATTATAAATTTAAACAATTTTAAAAATGTAAAAGATAATTATAAGGATAGTTGTAAGTAATTAGTATTTCTATAAAAAATTTAAAAAATGTCAAAAGATAAAAATAAGGAAATTACACGTTTTTTATAACTAAAATATATATATTTCAATTAAAACAAGAAAAAAATTTGGCAAATTTATTAAGAAGGAAACATATCTTATTATATAACTAATATGATATATTTTCATTTCTCAAAGTTAGTAATTAATATTATCATGAACCGTTATCAGTCAAAGATTTTATCATGTGTCATGATTTAATTTAAAATTTGATATTATTTATATCAATTTCCTTTCCAATTAGAAACATGTGATGATTTAATTAAACTAATCCTCATATTATTTATTTGAGTTTATTTTTTCATTGAAAAATATGAGAGATCAATTTTTTTCCCTTTTTGTAATATTTTTTTTTACTTAACTGTGTTTTTTGGTTTGTCCTCAATTATGATTGTAGTATTGTTACATTGTTTATTTCAATTTCTTTTTTCATATTTAAATTATCAAAAATTCATATATCATCGTATTTCTATTTTTTTTAGTTTAATTATTATATCTTAAAATTATTTATTTTTGTTTCTACTTTCAGTTTGAATTATATAAGTTTTATCATATATCATAGTTCTATTGATTTTAGATAGCGACATGTGTCATGATTTAAATTACAAATTTAAATTATTTATATAAATTTTATTTTATAATTAGAAATATGTGATGATTTTAAATATAGTTTTATATTGTTTATTTGAAAATCTTGAATACGTAAGAACCATATATGCTTTTTCTTGGTTTTTGATATTTTAAATTTAATTATACTATTTTAAATTGTTTATTTAAATTTGTTTGTTCATATTTGAATTAAATAAGATTCATATATCATCGTACTTATAATTTTTTAACCTTATCAATTTGTATTGATTGATCATAAAGTCATTGCAATCAAGTATGTAGGAATTGAACCCGCAACGTTAGCTTGAAAGGCTAAAGGATTTAGTCGGTTTATCATCTTTATATTTTTAACGTGTCTAATTAAAAGCCACTTTGGTTTCATTCGCCAACTTTATGATGAATATTTTTAATTTTAGTTCTTCATATAAGTATACCATGAGTTATTGATATGTGATATATTTTTCATTCAAAATAATTTTTGAATCAATAATTTTGGTGGTTAAAGAAACAATGCAACATTGAAAGTAAATATTTGTTTTTAGAAGTAATTTCAATTAAATTATACCCCGCGGTACACCGCGGATCGATTTTTTTATAACTAAAAAATTATTTTGCAAAATTTTAAGTTGTATTTGTTTTGTTAATATTGTTTATTTTGTTTAGTGTTTCTGATTTTATAATTAAATTTTGATTTTTAATTCTAGGATTTCATCCATAGTATATTGTTTAATATTAATATTGATCTAAACCCGTTGCACCATATAACCCCGTCCCGTAAAATTAAACATCATTTGTTATTTTTTTTGAATAATATTTTTATCCACTACGAGTCGCAGGTTCATGCGGATAAGCCCGTAGAGAGTTGCGGGTTTGCGGGTCGACCCGCCAAAAGAAAAGCTATCTTTTGAAACCCTTTGTTTTGTTTAAAGGTTTTAAGAAAATATCCCTAAAAAATAATTTTCATTATATGAAAAAAAGAAGTAGAAGAAATTGTAGTATCCACATTCCCGATTTTTACATCACTCGTTACAATTAATTTTTTTTTTGCAGATAAAAATCAGAAGTTAACTAAGTCGAGATTTTTAAAAAGATTGTGTAGAGAGTTTTGGTAAATTGTTGAGAACATATTTGATTTCAAAATCTTTACTTAAATAGATAAGGAAAGATTTTGTAGAGATTTTTGCTAAATATATGAGAAATGAATTTCAATTAAAAATCTTTACTTAAATAAAACAAATCTAAATAATTAATGCTAATGGCATGTCATTGTAAATACTTCTCAACTTCAGGATTTATTTGCTAATTGTGATCCAAAAATGTATATATAGATATATTAAAATTCAAAAAAAAAACATTTTGGTTTTGAGTAAATGAAAGCTTGCATACATTTCATGCCTAGTATTATATATCAAACTGCTAGATCATAAAACAAGATACTTGGCATGAAATTTCTAAAGGATTGAATACACAAGAAGAGATTGAAATTTCTAAAGGATTGAATACACGAAGAAGAGATTGAATACACTGAAATTTTAATTTTTTTGTAATTTTAAAATATATTATTTATGATAAATAGAAAATTTTACTATGATTAATTTTCAATTAAAATAAAATTACTTATTAAAGCTACGTCATTATTTATAACGAAAAACAAATATTTTTCTTGATGAAATCATTTTTTTCTTGAATTTATGTGGATCTGCGAACACAAATGTCAATTTAAAGTTTGAAAGTTTTAAATAACAAAATTATTACTTTGATGGTTTATTGTGAAAGTAATCTTGAAGATTTTAAATGTAAGTGGTTGTCATTCTGAAAGTTTTTTTTATGGAATTTTACTAAACTTATTATATTCTCAAAAAGTCTAACTAATAATGATTAGTGACTAATGTGTAATGTCTTTTTTTTGTCGGACAAAAAAAAAAAATTAGTATTAATTTTTTTCAAATGACATCATTTGCAAGCATTATTAATTTTGTTTTATTTTAGAATTAAAACAAAATACTATAGGATTTGTGTTTTTGTAATAATTCATTCTAATTTGTTTTATACTTTTTTACATTAACAACATAAACTTTAGGTCACAAGTTATATAATTTTACTTTTCATAGAAATTTGAAATTTTTTTCAAAGCATTCTATATTGTGAAACAAAATAAAATAATTAAAATATCTTCTAATATGAAACAAATGGATGTTGGAATACAAACCAACGTCCCATATCGGAAGTTTAGAAAAAAATTGTCTAATATAGAAGTCAAGTCCAAATTAGTATGAAGCTTTTTAGAAAGGAGCCCAAAAACAAATACATGCGGAATTAACCACTTGGACCCAAAGCAGACAATATCATAATAATAGAGGAGTTGGAAAGGACTTGGAAAACTCAATTATTGGTATCAGAGCCTAAGTTGAAAAAGTGGACTTAGGAAAGTGGGTTGGACTCTATGATCGGTGTGGAAGAAACCCTCAATGTGACACGATAATAAGGTACTTCAAAAATCCCGCCAATAAGAAGGTGACAATGCTAGGGTGACAAGGTTTCGCTGAAGGGGAAACCCAATGTTCGTGGTCCTTGGTTTGAAAGGGAGATTGTTAGGATACAAACCAACGTCCCACATCAGAAGTTTAGAAAAGAATTAGTATGAAGTCTTTTGGAAAGGAGCCCAAAAACAAATATGTGTGGACTTAGCCACTTGGGGCCAAAGCGGACAATATCATACTAATAAGAGAGTTGTAAAGGGCTTGAAAAGCCCAATAATAGAGTAATTAACAAGAACAAAAACATATCTAATAAAAATAAAAATAAACATGTCCAAATCATAAATCCAAAAAAAATTCGAATAGAATTCTAGAGAATAATTAATTAGATTTTTTATGTAAAGAAATTCAACAAAATTCGATTTAATGGAACCAAAAAAAATTGAATAAAACATTAAACTCCATAGATGATAAACTATGATTAAAGTACGAAAAGAAACCAAATTCAAAATCTAACATAAAATAACTGGACCATGAATTTTTCTCGAGTTTTAAAATAAAATCGGATAGAATTACTACTGAAAATCGAAGATTTACCGACTTTGCTAACACCAAACAATGCAAATTAGTAATTACATCCATAATCCAAATTAAAACAACTTCTAATATATATTAAAATACACAATTAACAAAGTAACGTGTTACACTGCGTTTTGGAAGGTGGCTGATATTCAATTCTAGACAAAGAAGCCTAAAAGAATCCGACCAACAGTTGACTTTTAATTTATGGAAGTGTATGATGTGATCTGAATCAGACCAACGTTTGGATTTAGTTTTAGTCTGGTTTAAACGCAGCGATTGCGGTTGCGGTTGTGGAAGTTTGCGGAAATGACGTTTTGACCGACTGGTTTAGTGGTTGAAAACGGATGCGTTTGCAGAAGATTTACGACTGGTTGATCAGCGGGTACGATAGCGGTTAAACCAAAATTTACCAAAATAAATTTAATATATGATTATTAAAAAGTTTAAAAACACCAAAAACTATAATTATGAAAAAGTATAAATTTTTTAAACATGATTAATGATTAAAAACCATAAATAATTATTCAAATAAATTTTATATTGAAAACAAAAATAATATTTAATATTGGAAAATTAAAGTTAGATCTTTATTATTTTTTTAGAATTAACGTGAATATATATAAGACTTGATAATATATATTTTAATTTATTCATTTTCCTTTTTTTAGTTTCTTTCCTTTTTTAAACCAACCGCAACCACCCGCAACCGCAAACGCTTGCGGGAAGGAGTTTTTGAAATTCGGCGATTTCGAGCGGTTCGAAGCGGTTCTATAATTGGTACCAACCGCTAGCAACCGCAACCGACCGCTAACAACCGCTAGGCGGGTGCTAGCGTGAGAATCAATCAAGCCCTTAGTCAAAAATGATTAGACTGAAACTTAGTTTTCAGATTCCAGTCAATAGTGGAAGTATTTTACTATTTTTAGTGTCTATATAGTTAGCTAAATTTTTAGAATCTTATAATCATCTCTAAAGCCTAAAGTAATCACTGATCTTAAATTATATTCGGTTTTCCAAGCCCATTCTGACTCCTGTTTTAATATGATATGTCCGCTTTAAACCTAAGTGGCAAAACCCGCACAGATTTGTTTTTAGATTCCTTCCCGAAAGACCTCATACTAGTTAGAGTTGGACTTGGCTTATATATTAGAAACTTCTTTTTCTAAATTTCCGATGTGGAACGTTGATTTGTACCTTTTAAATTAGTTATTTTCATAACATCAAGTGTAATATTTTTAAATATAAGTGTTATTAAACAACGAGGATCTGGACATGAATTTGGTTTTACATTTGATTTGAAAGTGTTTTTTAAGTGAACATATTTCAATATATGTTTTCCATTGTGTTCAAATATTCTATTTTTTAATTTTGTGACAATACATTTTTCATGAGAAAATAAACGGCTATTGTATAAACGTATTGGATAATCAATCATGGACTCGTATTTTAGTTAATATGTGATTTGGAAAGAAAAATAGTTTAAAGATTAAATTTCATATAAGTTTATAAATTATCTTGAAAATTAATTTCTGAACATACTAACATAACTCTTTCGTCACTCTTTCATCAAGGGTCATGCAATTAGTTTATGTAAGATTCTGTACTAATTATTGGATTAAGTTAACTTTTGTTGATTAATATTTCAGTTCTTCAATTGGATAAATGGGAAGTGATTGGACTGGTTAAAGGGAGGGAGTCTAAAGTCAAAATCTCTAAGACTTTTGGAGGGTTTGCCGTTTGATTCAAATAACTTTAAATATCTCCATTAAGCTCTAACATCAAATCATTCTTTTTTTCACGAGCTCAATGATTTGATGTTAGAGCTAGGTGTGTATGTGTTCTGATATAGTGGATTGCTAGTACAAACTAGCTTAGACGTATGGTTTGATCACATAGATTAATTTGAACTTGTAATTCGTTTGTGTTTTTTTTAATTCTTATTTGCTTTTTTATTCGATTGTGTTCTTTAGTCAGTGGTTAAATTTTTGTTTAAAGTAAAGCGAGATTGTGAGATCAAGTTGGTGTTTTTGATTGGATTTTATAATAACTTTGTATTTCTACAATTGATAAAACCATGTTATTAGTCAAATAGCAGAAAAGCTATTTAGGTTAGAAACTCAACATATAGGAAAAGAAAAGATATGACATTCTTATAGAATAAAATATTACAACATTACGAACATTCGACCCAAGAATTAAGGAAAACTTTCATTACGATTACATAAAACCATCTCATGCTTCATCAAATTGTTACATCCAAACATTGAACAATTGTCGATGAATTTTCCAAAGTTAGCACAAGATTAGACCACAAAACCTTTCCCCAAATCTCTCTGTGTTCTCCTCGCCTTTCCAATGCAACTTGTATACACCAAATCTCTGTTCCTCCACTTTTATCAAGGTTGAGCAAAACTGTGAGATCTCCGCCATGATTCGCCATTCTAGATCCTTGAATTTCATGCATCTTTGGTATATTCTCAACACCTTTCACGAAACTCCACACCCTCACTCTTGGATCATAGACGTGTATTCGATAAACACTTTTTTGACAATCAAAACCAAATGTGTACAACATGTTATCAATAACGCACGAACCAACTTTCCAATCACTATTCAATAAGAAGTCCTTCTCCCATACACCTTTTTTAGGATCGTAAACAACGTTAGTTCTTCGATCCATTATGTAAATCTTCTCGTTCATCACAACACTCTTGAGCGTTATCTTGTATAAATCTTCATTACACAAACCTGAAAAAGACTCCCAAGTTTGCTTCTCGAGGTCAAAAACCTCAACCCAATTATCCAATGAATCTGCCTTATTATACCCTCCGATTACATAAATCTTCCCATCTACAATACCAAACGCCGCACAGCCACGTGACACACGCATACTAGGAAGAAATCGAAACGTGCTATGTAGGCAATCGATAACAAACACATTAGAGGTCAGCTCACCATTGATGCATCCACCGAGAACATAGATCTCATGACCTATTACAATAACAGAAGATCCCCAACAAGGCAAAGAAGGGCAAGAAGGAAATGGAACCAATTTATGGTTATAAGAGTTAAATTCATTTTTGTATGGTTTTTGATTGAGAGTATACCAAATAGGATCTTCTTCATGATTGAATCTCAAGGCAACAAAAAGAATGTTTTCGGTCCGTTGAAGGAGTGAACGAGCGATGTTAAGTTTGATCGAAGTGATTAAACGATAGAAATTCTTTAATGATGACTGATAACATGGGGTTTTCACCCATATTTGTTATTGTTTTTTTTTTTTTTATGTTTTAGGGAGAATGTGGAGTGATTTCAGAGCTAAGAAGGAGTTATTCAAGTATTTATGGAGCCAAGAAGGTTTTAAGAGTTTTTGAGCTTTTAAGACCAAAAGGCGATCAAAACCCGTTTCAAGGCAGTTTCTGTACGTCAGAAGTATGGCGTCCGTTCAAGGTCTTTTCGGTTACTAAATCAAGAGATCTCAGTGGATATGGAAATCTAGAAGAGTCAGGATTCGCCTCGAAGTGGAATCAGAGCTTTTGAGCCGTTCAGAAGTTATGACTAGAAGAGCGAAGACACGTCCAGACCGGCCATAAGCTATACAACCGATCCAGAGTTTCTTGGCCACACCGGTCACATGGGCCAAGCCCGGGCTGTCTCTCACTCTCCGCACCGGCCACTAAGACTTCTCCCTTTCAAGAAACTCGAGTTTACACTTTTACCTAATCACGGGAAAAGACGTTTTTATCCCTAGACCTAATCCTTGGTCTCCAAACCCTATAAATACATGTTGAAAGCCCTAACCCTAGGTGTGCACTCACCAAGAAGCCGACGAAGAACCCTAGAGGCGCAGCCGACGTCGTCTACCTTGTTCCACGCTTTGAAGTCCACCAAATCTCTCTCTTTTCTCTTGTTTACTCTAAGATCTATTAAGGTGAAGTCTTACCTCTTGTATTCTACATTTAAAGAAGTAATCTCTAAACCCTATTCAGTTCTTATTCTTATCTTTCTTATGAGTTTATCAAACCTTACTTTGATGATCTCTTTAACCATGTTAGAGTAGTTATCTAGTTAGGTTTAAAGAGTTAATCAAAGGGGGGGGGAATATGATCGATCAATTAAGTGGCGAAACTTAGGGTTTTGTTTGATCGTTTACATTGTATTCTTTCTAAGTAAATTGTTTCTTAATGCATGTAGTTAGATTCATGTCCTAACTCGTGATCCCAAGTGCTTAAATTGCTCACAAGGTTGTTTAATACGCTAGACCTAGCTTACGAATGTGTATCGTGTTATAACAAGGGCTTTATGGACTAGAATCAAACTTGATCTTATTCCTTTGATATATGCGTCATTGCCTGCGTTAGTTGAGTAACGGAGTATAAGGATTTTAGCCGACTTATCCTATAACCTAGTATAAGCAGAATCTTAGTGTTTTCTATGTCCGAGACTTGGAAGTAAACAAACCTAATTCTAGTGTTTCTTAGATAGCGATCATTGAACCCCCTGCGATACCCTTGATGCCCAACGTTTGTCTCTCATAGTTTTCTTGTGTTTATTTTCTTGCATTTATTTACTTGTTCTCTTATTTACTTTTACTTGCAAATCGTGACACCAAAACACACCCCTCTTTATTGTTTTGTTCTAGCTTTACTTGTTCTATTAGACTTGTCCGAACTACTTCTCTCTCTGTGGATTCGATACCCTAAGTACTATAATTGATTTGCTGTGCACTTGCAGCTTATTCGTTGTGTTCTTAAGGATTTTTAAAACCTGACACACCACATCAATGACAACATAAACTTTAGAGTAGCTAAGTAGAACTTGATCATAGGATAATAGGTTTTGATCCGAGAGGCCTCCTGTTACTGGAAATACTTTAGGTGAGCAAAGATTTCTAGATTCATACGAGAGGTGGTCTAGGAATATTTGTGAACATATCAAAATGTTTTTAATGCTAATCTAGATCTAGGAATTCGCATTCGAAATAGTGGAATTACCTGATATTAGATTAGTTAGTTAGCACATACGAGAGGGTGGTTAGCTATTCATTAGTGTTTTGAGTTCTAGAACGGTTCGTTAAATAATCCTAATTAATTTGCTAGATTTACTATTAGTTTATTTCCCCAGAATTTCCTTAAACCTGACGCTTTAATCTATTGATCTTTTCACCTGATAATATTGCCTGCTATTTTTTTATTTTAATTCTTATTATTTTATTTAGCCTAATTTCGAAACTGTTAACCTATTGTATGAACAAAAGAACTTTATGGAATTCGACCCTTAAGTGCTGCAATTGAAGCAATGGTATCTCCAATATTATTAGTTTTGGTTATATCTTTGGAGCGGAATATTTTTTTTGTTTTATCTTTTATACAATGTAGATGATTTTTAAGAAAATAAATAAAGAGTCATATTATTTTACAATAGATAGTACCCCAAAAAACATTTATGCAATTTGGTAGTACCTTCGCTTCTCTTTTTCTATATAAACCAAAAAATAGAAAATTGATCTTATGTCCTTCAAAGTTGTGAATTGATCACTAGTAAGGAGAATTCTGGCATCGCCTTTTCAGTGACTCCATCTTGCAAACTCTATGATGTAGCATATATTCAAATCAAGTCAGTTTCATTAGTAGGCTTTGTTTCTTTATGGGTTTATATTAATTTGGGCTTTGAATATATGTTTCTTGTTGTATCTTCTCTATTAGATTAGGGTTTTTACGTTTTAGTTTTAGTATTTAAGGAGTCGAGAGTTGTAAGAAAAGAGGACAACTTTTGATTATTGAATAAACGAGTTTGAAGAAAACTTTGTCTAAACCCTAGAGAGGAGGACTCTCAATCTTAAGAGCTTGTGTTCAAATCCTGCAAGGAGGACTTGCAAAACCGCGTCGATATCGCTACTTGGAAACTATCTCGACCTTATCTCTATTGCTTCTTCGTCAAGTTTCGACGTTCTAAGCAAGATCTGTTCGTGAGTCCTAGTTTTCTTGGAAATCTTGTGTTTTCGTCCGTTAATTAAGCTTCTGCTCTCTATCACTCTAGGAGATTTTAGACAATGAAAGAAATCACTGTGCGACGAAAACGAACACCATCTGGTCAAAATTAATAACATCTAGGATGAGTTTCTCATCTATCTTATCATTGTTTTGGGTTTTGTAGGATATATTTTGTTTGAATGTGATATAATTACACTACAAAAAAGATTATTTTAAATTATTTATTTTGTATATTTATATCACTTATAACTGATACAAAATAATTTTACATCACTAAGTAAAAGATTTTAAAATGAGGATGCAAATAGCTTTCGTTTTGTTAACAACTAATACAATTATATATAATATTATTTATTGATTTTTGTTTCCATATTTTATCTATATGTTTTCCTTGCTTCTGAACATATCTGTGTTATTCTGCGTTTCTTAATCTTATTAAAGTCTCGAATTTGATTATAAGAAATTTAAAAATACAGGATGTTTTTGTTTTAACATGGTTCCTAGGACCTAGCTACATATTCAAAAATACATAAGTTAAATCTACAATGTCTTTTTTTTTGTAGCTATTCACAACCTCAACATGATAAGGTTATTTTTTTTTATTTTTTTTTCCTTTTTACGTCCCACCAACCTCTAATGGTATTCACATTATAGAGAGTTAACGTTCATAGAGAGTTACTCTTGGTATATTAGCACATGAGATTTCTACGATCTCAGGTCCAAGATACTCATGGGTTTGTTTCCAGATCTTGATCCTATAAGAGCTGATTTCTTCAATGTTTGCTTTGGTCCAGGAAATCGTATTGTAGCCTCCACTTCACATGTATTACCAACAATTTTTGTCATCCGAGTCTTTGATATTTCTAGTGAGAATTGTCTTCAGGATTTTCTCATAGTTAAATTTGCATGTCTCCGGAAAGGTGTGCTTTAATTTAGTGTATTTTGACGTGTTTGGAGTTTTTTTGGGTATCATTTTAAGTTGATTTAATAGAAAATACATCAGAATCATTCAGAAAATGTGATGAAAGTCCATGTAACTGCATAAAAAAAAAAGAAATTTTTACAAAAAGGACAGAAATGATTTTTTGTCTCATCAATTGACAAAGTGGGGAAAGGCTTTCACCGTTTGACAATTAGCCATATTTCTGACGAAACTGCCCTCAATTAGAAGTGTAACTTGGTTCGGTTTTTTTTTTTCACAAGTGTATCGTTTTTTTTCAATTGGTTTGGTTTCTGAAAATTAGTTTTATTTAGTTTAAATTTTTTTTGAATTAAAAACAACATTGGAAAACGAAGAACATAGTCGACGAAAGTGAAGAGCTCGAGGAGGAAAACTCAGAGTAGAAACCGTTTCCATTCTTCAATCTAATCTCTCATTATTATTCATCTACTTGGAAACGACCAAAACCCCAAAAAATTCCGGCGAATTCCGTTTCGATTCCTCTTTAACTCTCTCATTATCTTTCGTTTTTGCCGAGACGAGCAAAAGCAAACAAATTTCATATTTCCGGCGACGAACAAAATACAACAAAGTTCTGGAAACTCAAACACTTTAGCTTTTCAAATTTAAAATATGCTAAATTTACAAGATTTATATGTAAAGAGAATTCAAAAAGTAAAAAAAAAAAACAAGATTCTGAGATAACTGCTAATGACGGCCGCAAAATTAGGGTTGCATAGGAGGATACTCAGGTTGAAGATGACTGGAAAATTACATTTGTACCCTTCATCGAATTTCTTCTGTGTACGTATATGCAATTTACGGTGTACGTACACAAAAATATTTAGTGGAACTTATGTATATAGTTCGATATTAAAGTGGTTGTAATAAATATCAAACCACCCTCTACTAAAAAACTAACAATTAATGATTTGACTCCAAATTTGAGCTATTTTGTTACTTATTCATATATATCTCAATAAAATTCATGCATATATAATAATTAAATAAAAATATAAGGTGAAAAAATATTGTTCCTCATACTTTTGAAAAAGTTATGTATGTATACGTGTAATAATGTACGTACATCTTTGTTGGTGTGTTAAATTTGTTAAGATAAATTTATTGATACAATAATAAACCAATATTGGCGATAGTGGGGGTGTATTCTACGACGCTCCTACTGGAGATGAAGCTATTGTTATTTGATTTTTTTTTTTTGTTTCTAAATACACTCCCAACAAACAATGGCTCTCT